GCGCGCACCGCGCACAGCGGACAGCACTGCGTACTGCGCACACCGCACGGCGCACAGTGCGCGCGCTGTCATTCCAGCGCACAGTGCAGTGCACCCCGCCCCGCCCCGCACTGCGCACTGGTGCGCAGCAACTATGATGTCTATGTGTACACCCTTTGGTGATGAACTGTGCGGTTCATAGCAGTAGCAAGAGAGAGAGAGAGAGAGAGAGAGAGAGAGAGAGAGAGAGAGAGAGAGAGAGAGAGAGAGAGAGAGAGAGAGAGAGAGAGAGAGAGAGCATCCACGGGTAGGATGGAAGGTGCGGGGTCTACCTGGTGATGTTGTTGTAAGTGAAGAAACATCGCAACATTGCTTTGCTTCTGACATCGGAACATTGCTTTGGTTCTGAATGCCAGCACACCTTTGAGCAGTTTGATTCGGCATGGTGCCAGAGTTATTAATTTATTATGGTGCCAATTTGGAGGATGGTGAGTAGATAGAGAGGAGGGCTGAGAGGCAGAAAGAGGAAGGCGATAGAGAAATTCTATCAATAGACAATTATTTGAGATTACCCGCTTCCTCCTGCTCTTCTTTTTCCTTCGTCTTGGTGCTGGTCTACTTCGCTATCTCGTTGTGATTGCCATTCTTTCAGCATCACGAGACTTGTTGCATGGTGTTGGTTTGTCTGAGCGCCCTATCAACACCTGATCACAGTTGGTGTGGTGGTTTCATCAAGCCGTTTCTGTTGTGGATTGAATACATCTGTGGATCTTGTTCGGGGATCCTGGTTGGGCAATGTTTTTCGGCTGTGTTTGGGTTAACAGGTAACAATCACTATCTGTGTTGACAGGTTTTCACTCCTGAGTCTTGCTTCATTTGGAAATTTTGAATCCTTGCTGGATCTGAATGCGACAAGCTATAGTATAGAGTCTATTTTCTTGGGCAAAGTGTTGGCAAAATAATTGTTAAAACAGTTAAATCGAAATGTTATCTCTCTTAGAGAGGTTCGCCTAACTATGAACCTTGCTGGTTTTTTTTTTTTGGCGAACCGGGCGGGGGTCAAGCAGAATGTATCTTTGTGTATTAGCTGTAAATCCCTGACTATGGTTACTCCGGTGCTTCGGCATTCGACCTTACACGCTTAATCCAGGGAGAACGTCAGAGGAGTCGCGAAATGATCTGCACTATTCTTTGAAACTGTCTCTCGTCATGACCAAGTCGCTGATGGACCACATGATCACATTGCATTTTGGCTGTTGCAAGGAATATGAGTGTGAGCGATATACATAAAACCAAGTTGCGAAATCACACAGCTGAGCAAGTAGTGGTATCCCAAGTAGAGAGTACAAATGCACCGAGAAAACCATCCATAAAGAGCAATACATACATTGAAGTATTGAGCCAATGTCCAAGCCCATAGGCCACACCAACACAGTATCCAGAGTCGCTCTCTCTGTCTGGCGCACAGCGCCCAGTCTACTCTAACACACTACACTATCCTACTCTACAGCTGGTTCACACAACAGGATCGCTTCGGCTCACGAAGACCAATGTACACGACTGTCAACACCATCGGCGACCTCTCTTCATGTACCAGGTACGTATCTCGTCACCCTCAATCAGACCTTGATTATCCCACACAGCACCTCACTC